GTTTTGTAGGTCAGGCTTGGTACAGTGGTTTAGTGTTTAGCTCTTCTGACTTGTGCCATTGGGTTCCTTGGTTCGAATCCCAACCAGGAGACCATGTGCATGGAGTTGTAGTTTCTCCTTATGCTTTCGTGGGTTTCCTTCAGGTACTCGTTTCTTCCCACAGACCAAATAAATACTAGTAGCAATGAGCTAAGGTTTGGCTTGAACTCATAAGAAACTGTCACACAATAATAGGCCATAACAAAGGGGTGGGGATGCTGGGAACATCATTGACTTACTATGGCCATAGTTGGTTAATGATATTCCCACCATTCCCACCACTTTGTTAGAAGCAACTGGGGGTGTTATTCCATGCTGGCAGCCTGCTATCATGTGCTACTTTTCCATGGCTTTTGGTTGACTTGAGTTCATCCCTAGCCTGTAGGTTCATTGACTCCCGTCTAAACTGGCCTAGCATGTGTGTGTATGCAATAATGTTAAATAGGGACCTTAAGCAGGCCATAGACATGGGGACAATCAGCGGTTTCTTTTTTTTAAAAGTCGTAAATCGGTCGTTCAGACGGCCGACGTTGCCACTAATTAAAAAAAAAAGTTGGCAGGTTTTAGTCCCGTCTTCGGCTGTCAATTAATATAGCGGTGTCCCTGCATAGAAACCCGCTATTATATTTGACAGAAGAAATAGATTATGCAGAAGAAGAAGAAGAGAAACAACATTGTATCTATTTGTACTTGAATAGAAACATCTGTATCCGAAATGCATACAAATAGAAACAATGTTGCAACTTTTTTTCTTCTCCGTCTTCTTCTGCAAAATCTATTTCATCTTCTCTTTTCTTCTATTCCTCTTCTTGATATTCTATTTCTTCTTCTCCTGCAAAATCTATTTCTTCTATTTCTTCATAGTTAATTTATTGTCAAATCGGCCAGAAGAACAGCCGATTTGACCATAAATTACCATGAAAATCGGCCGATCTAACAAATCGTCCCAGGATTTTCCAGCTTGGACGATTTTCAAAATCTCTTAAAATTAAGAAAAACGGCCAACATTTTTCCCCACTAACGGTACGAATATCGGCCAATAATTCGGCACGAAAATCGGAAATCTACGGCCGCCTTTAGACTGTAAGCTTCTTAATGGCAGGGACTGATGTGAACGGCAAAGTATTTAAAGTGCTGCTTAAAATGTCGGCACTATATAAATACCTGTCGTAAATAAATATGGCCAACTTTAAAAGATCAACATAGTTATTGCCAATTCCACCAGGTACTCCCACATGGGCACTTGTCCAAGATCAAATGTGTTTAGCACTCAAAACCAAACATGCCCCATCATTGTCAGCATGCAGGACTCCATGCTATGACTTATCCCAAGAAGCTTGTTTATTCTGATCTCACCCTGCTGTAAGGAAAGACCTATTGTGCCATAAATCAATGGTCTTAGTGAAAGGGTTACATTCAGCTGAGTCACACTGTCACATTTACCCTGTGGCAACAAGGGCCTGGATTTACACTGAATGACTGTGCTAGGAGTGTTAGGAGTATAGCTAAAGGTTAAGCTTCCCTTATCACCTGTACATTAGCATCACCCAACCCACAATGGGGAGTAAAAAGACAGCCCATCTCTTCACATGGTAAATAAAATCTTTTGTTTGTTATGTAAAAGCTTTAAGTGGTAGGAAAAAAATCAAAACTAAAGAAAAAAAAAAAAACAGCCAGGGGTTTGCATCTAATCAATTTTATATTTGCTTCCAGGTTGCAGAAAAGGACTTATTTTGAATGGATTTTCTAAATGCTTACCTATCCCTCACTTGGAATGAAGTAATGAAATAAACACATAAGATCTAGCCAAAGACCGCCAGAGAAGCTTATTTAGGCCATAAGCTTTACAGGCAGTTGATCGAGCAGACACAATGCAATCATCTATGGAGAATGCTATACTTAAAGAGGAGCTACAGTCTGATAACCCAAGTTATACCAAAAACATCCTTGAGTTCATGTGGCCTTCAGAATAGCACAACAAGAGTGTATAGAGAGCTTCATGGAATGGGTGTGCATGGCCGAGCATCTGCATCCAAGCCTTACATCACCAAGTGTACTGCAAAGTGTTGGATGCAGTGGTGTAAAGCATGCCACCACTGGACTCTAGAGCAGTGGAGATGTGTTCTCTGGAGTGACAAATCATGCTTCTGTCTGGCAATCCGATGGACCTGTCTGGGTTTGATGGTTCCCAGATGAATGGTACTTGCCTGACTGCATTGTGCTAAGTATAAAGTTTGGTGGAGGAGGATTATGGTGTGCGGTTGTTTTTCAGGGGTTGGGCTTGGCCCCTTAGTTCCAGTGAAGGGAACTCTTAAGGCGTCAGCATACCAAGACATTTTGGACAATTTCATGCTCCCAACTTTGTGGGAAGAGTTTGGGGATGGCCCCTTCCTGTTTTCCGACATGATTGCGCACCAGTGCACAAAGCAAGGTCCATAAAGACATGGATGAGCAAGTTTGGGGTGGAAAAACTGGCCTGCACCTCAACCCAATAGAACGCCTTTGGGATGAATTCGAGCAGAGACTGCGAGCCAGGCCTTCTTGTCCGACATTAGTGCCTGACCTCACAAATGCGCTTCTGGAAGAATGGTCAAACATTCCCATAGACACCCTCCTAAACCTTGTGGACGGCCTTCCCAGAAATGTTGAAGCTGTTATAGCTGCAAAGGGTGGGCCAACTCAATATTGGACCCTACGGACTAAGACTGGGATGTCATCAAAGTTCAAGTGTGTGTAAAGGCAGGCGTCCCAATACTTTTGGCAATATAGTGTATGTTTTGGATAGTGTGAGGGAGAACAGGTTTTTTTGTGCTATTGGTATCCTCTGTGGGAACATATACCTTATTTGCCTTACCTTCTGCCTTGGGGTCAGAAGTAGAGGGAATAAAGGGAAATCTATCCATTCACAAACAGAGGCAACAATAAAAACACCTTTTTCAAAGAATGGGGAAAGGTTAGCACCTCTGTGTGGGGGTTTTATTTCTGCCTGTGCCTTCCCATTCTTGTGATGCCTGACTCTTCATTGCCTTGCAGTCACTTCCTATCCTAGGAGGACAAAACCCACTGTACAGTATCCGAGGAGGAGCAGCACTGTCACCCTATGAACAGGACGTGTGTTAGGACTACAGATCAACTCTCTCTTTCCTAATCTCCATAACAAAGGTGTGTGTGTGGGGGGTGTTCTGTAGTCCACAGACAAGGATGCTACCTGGTAACCATGCATCACAGACAGAGTGCATGGAAAGCCATCAGCTCACTAGACGTTTGGCAGGATCAGAACATATTTTTTGCACTCATCTAACAGATATAACAAACATCTTTTAATGGTAAATTTAACAAACCAAAAGGGAACAAATAAGAGAAATTCATATTCTTATAGTAAGATGACAAAAGACAAAAGCCCATCGAGTTCAACCAATAAAAACCTCCATACTGTATGTGGAACCCCATACTAACAATAGATACAAAAGAAGGAAAACAACCTTTATAAACCATGGTCCAATTTCCTCCAACAGAAAAAAAGAATTCCTTCCTGATCCCCAACAATCTCTGGTGTGAAAAGTTTATGGTTTACATAGGGATAGCAGATTAAGCCACACAAATCACATGTTCACATGGCTAACTGTATGTACAGATCTGCCACTTTGACAAACAGGTTATGCTAAATATACAGTCATTTATATAATGTGCATAGCAGCTTCTTGACTTACAGGGCAGGAATTGGATACCATGGCCTCAATGCTGTGGTGCAGGATTAGTAATGTTTAGTTAGGCAAAGGGTAACCAAAAAGGCCAGTGATAAAATACTGAAAAGCTTCTGTGACTTCTGTTACAAATCTGAGAAAAAAGAGTTTTTATACCTCACTGAAGGGGGTGAAGCCATGCATGTCATTCCTTGATATCTCTCTAGTGTCTGACAACAAAAATAAAAAAAAAGCATGGTCATTTTTGGCCTCATTTGTCACTTTCTCTCATTACTTTTCCTTTCACCACACAGTGGCCCCCTGGTCTTCCTGGGACCTTTTGATGTCAATTGTTGTTGTTACACCCCTGTTGGACAGCCATAAGGTCATAAACTTTTATTGGCCACAGCTCAGTGAAGGCAATATGGGGACATGATGGTTGTAAAGAGCAGTGGGTGTTTCACTTCAAGCCTGGGAGAAGAGCACTTATCTCCATGATGTTTGAGTCACAGCCTAACAATCATGGGATTATTTTGCAGTCATGGATTCCCTCAGGTGACCTAGGACATGGCTAAAAACTGGGCGTGTTGCTGAGATGATCACCAAGTTTCCAGCTGATTGGGGTTGTGTTTACTTTCATACATGATTTTCCCATGCTTCAATACCCAGGGGCTATACTTCTTCTAAGTCTACTTTAAAAAGGCTTTAATCAGTAAGGACCTGAAAATCCATGTTACTGGATATTCTGCATCTTTTTTTTCAGGAATCTTCTTGCTGAATTTACTCAACTTTTATGTGTTGAAGTCCCCATTTTTCCTGCTTTTCAGGTTTTCACTTTCACATTTGAGAAAAACACATTGAAGAATAACAGTTCACTGAGACAAATGGCACCTGAATGTCTGGTTATAGGGCCCCTTTTTTTTTACTAGCTGAACTTCCAGCGCCATGATCAAACTTCAGTCCACTTAACTTCTGAGTGCATGTCTTTCATCTACTTCCTATCTGCAGCAGTCCGAAGATATACAGAGAGTGAGGAACTGGTCAGGAGATCTGTCATAATTTATGGCCTCCAAAGCAACCCATGAACATGAGATGATAAATTTATGTGTATGAGCCTCCTCCTCCCTTCTTCATTTACATGAATATGAATGAGCCAGACAATGGCACATACTGTATCAGCTCCATCCTGATTTATGGCATCCGTAACTTAATGGATTACCTTCACATGTTGTCCTTTACAGCCTACCCCTAGTGTAACCTTCAGCACGCCTGAGGAAACCAACTTTATCTATGTGAGTAACAGGAGACAAGTAATGCTGCATCCATGTTAGTACAATCTTAAATAGTGTAACCAGGGGCGGACTGACAACTCATGGGGCCCCCGGGCAATAGGGGATCATGGGACCCCTGTGTCCTTGCCCAAACTCAAAAAGCCTATGAAAAAGGTACCAGGGGCATCTCATGGGGCCCCCTACTGACCCCCGATTCTTGGGCAGTGGCCGAGTTTCCAAATGGTCAGTCCGCCCCTGAGTGTAACATACATTGGTGCCCCACTCTTGGCCTCTGCCAGCCAACACATACAAACTGATCAAAAGAGCTAGCAACATGATTAACTGCAGTACTTTGTCTTTATTCAATCATTGCAGTATGGGAGTAAAAAAATCCAGGAAAAAGGTTGACGCATTTCAGCATCAACGAACTGAGTAATGAATGAGGCCCTTTGAGGCTGAAACACGCCAACATATTTCCTTGATTTATTTACCCCTGTACTGTGTTGATTGAATAGAGACAAAGGACTGTAGTTTATCGTGTTTCCTGCTCTTTTGATCGATTCGAATTTTATAGTTTGTCCAAAGCCCTATCATGGTTTTGCTGGATTTACATATATATGTGGATAAAAATATCAATAAAAAAGGAAAATAATGGTTAGCACTTCCCGCCTGGCAATACTAGGGTTGTTGGTTCGAATCCCAACCACAGCACCACCTGCCTGGAGTTTGCATGTTCTCCCTGTGCCTGCGTGGGTTTCCTCCGGGTACTGCGGTTTCCTTCCACACTCCAAAGACATGCTGGTAGGTGAATTGACACCTGTCTAAATTGGCCCTAGTATGTGTATGTATGAATGTGAGTTAGGGACCTTAGATTGTACACCCCTTGAGGGTTAGGGACTGATGTGAATGTACAATATATATGTAAAGCGCTGCGTAAATTGACAGCACTATATAAGTACCTGAAATAAAGAAATAAATGATGTTTGAGCATCTACTTTTTTTTAACTTAATTTCTGGCACTTGTTTTGCATGTATTCATGCGTATTTGTACACATTTCTTTGCACAATATATTCTTAGGGAAAATTAGGGAAAATTCATTAATATTTATGCCTATATACACGTATTTGTGTGCATTTGCTCGTATTTACGCGCATGCAGCGTGAATTACTGGCCAAAAATACAGATTCTCCTATTTTTTTTTTTTACTGAGGAGTTTGCATGTTCTCCCTGTGACTGCTCCGGTTTCCTCCCACACTCCAAAGACATGCTGGTAGGTTAATTGGCTCCTGTCTAAATTGTCCCTAGTATGTGTATGTATGAATGTGAGTTAGGGACCTTAGATTGTACACCCCTTGAGGGTTAGGGACTGATGTGAATGTACAATATATATGTAAAGAGCTGTGTAAATTGACGGCGCTATATAAGTACCTGAAATAAATAAATAAATAAATATGCGGCACTTATTTATGCACCTGTGTGTGAAGGCACATTATAAATAATGGGCTACATTTTACTTCAGTAAAAAAAAATGCTGTACTATGCTTTTTCAAGCTGCAGTGTGCAAGAGGCCTACATTTTTTGGTGCTCTATTAATACCTCAAATAATAATATTCTGAATATTACCACTAAATGTATTTACTACATACAGTTATCAGCACGGTGGCTAAATGGTTATCACTTAGCCACCTGGCAGTACTAGGGTGGTCAGTTCAAATCCTAAACACAGCACCACCTGCCTGGAGTTTGCATGTTCTCCCTGTGTGGGGTTTCCTCTGGGTACTCCAGTTTCTTCCCACACTCTAAAGACATGCTGGTAGGTGAATTGGCTCCTGTCTAAATTGGCCCTAATATGTATGAATGTGAATTAGGGACCTTAGATTGTACACTCCCTGAGGATTAGGCAGTAGTGTATTTAGATTCTGTGCTGACCTAGGCAACACAAAAAATTTTCGCCCCCTCCCCAATGAGAGATTGAGAGAGTTCAATAAGTGTGTGTATGTATATATGATTCTCTCCCTCTCCCTTTCTTTCTCTTCTCTCTCTCTCTCCCTCTCCCCCCCATTCTCTCTCTCTCTCTCTCTCTCTCTCTCTTCCTTCCTCTCTTTCTCTTTCTCCCCTTATCCCTCTCTTTCTCTCCCTTTCCCTCCCCCTCTCTCTCTTCTCTCTCCCTCTTCCCTCTCTCTGTCTTTCATCTATCTCTCTTTTCCCCCTCTATCTTTCCCCCTCCTTCCCTCTTCCTCTCTCTCTCTCTTCCCTCTCTCTCTCTTCCCTCCCCTCTCTCTCTCTCTCCTCCCTCCCTCTCTCTCCTCCCCCCCCCTTTCTCTTCCCTCCCTCCCTCTCTTTCTCCCTCCCTCTCTCTTCCCCCTCTCTCTCCCTCTCCCTCTTTTTTCCCTCTCTCTCCCTCCCTCCCTCTTTTTCCCTCTCTCTCCATCCCCCCTCTTTTTCTCCTCCCTCTCTCTCTCTCTTTCTCCCCCCCCCCCCCTCTATCTCTTTCTCCCCCCTCTCTCTCCCTCCCTCCCTTTTCTCCCTCTCTCCCTCCCTCTCTCTCTCCCTCCCTCGCTTTCTCCCCCCCTCCCCCCTCTTCCTCGGATCATATGGGACCACACACACATGCATACACACGCGCACACACACCCCCACCTCCAAGGGCTGCTGATCTCCGGCCAACAGGAAGGGGGGGGGGGGTGCAGTCCCATAGGATCTGTCAGTGTGCAATGTACTGGATGGATGACAGGAGGGAGAGCCCACAGAAGACAACACAGCTCACCTCCTCTGGGCTCTTGCATCTCCCCCACTCCTCCTCTCCCTGCTCCAGGCTGTACCCTGGTCCTGGCTTGTCAACTGCTGGAGGGAGAAGCACATGACCGTCGCTCTGCAACTGCCCTCCCCCACGCTCCACCACATCGATCTTCCTGCTGTCAAACACTGCTCAAAAGGTCCCTTCTTCTGGGGGGGCGGTGTCACCCCCTAAAAATTGCCACCCTAGGCAAACGCCTTGTTTGCCTCGCGGTAGATACGCCCCTGGGGTTAGGGACTGATGTGAATGTACTATATATATATGTAAAGCGCTGCGTAAATTGAGGTTGCTATATAAGTACCTATAATAAATAAATCAAAATGTAATATTTATCAAGGTCCTTTAAATATATGCTGCTAATTCTTTTAAATCTTTGCATATTTATGTGTCAATGTTATTAAAAAAACTGACTGATAAAAAACAAATTGTAAATTTCTTAATTGTTTGAAGATGTGCTTTTTTTCCCCTTTGTTGGCACTGGTGCAGGGATTTATATACAAAGTATATTCAAGAGATCTGTGAGCCAGTAGGTAAATACAGAAAACACAGAGCAATGGTCTGTTTCAAAGCTTTGAGTTGTAAATCAGTGTTTGGAACATAACAAAATAGTCTTTCACTTTGTTGTTTTGTATATATTTAATAGCAGTGTTAAAATGCATGTAATGTGCTATTATGTGATTTGCTACAAGCAATGGCAAGCTTTTGAGGAAGTCCTGCTGAGATGTAAGGAGAGCCACCATGGGTAGGAGTTACTTTAAAACTGATGTTATTGCACAGTAGCATGACCTCCTATCATCCTCATCCATGTGGTACATGTACCCATTTCCTTTGAAGGGTCAGACCAAGGACGGACCATGCGTGTATGTTTTTGCAGTGAGTAGTCACTCCTGGTGCAAGCCTTACCCAGGTGAAGCAACTCAGTTGTTGAGTTAAAAAAGTTAGCAAAACACCTCCTACAAATGAAATGGCTTTAAAGTAGTTGTAAACCTCAGACATGAAAAATAAACAAATCATATGCCTCTATAGTGTGTACTTGTCTCAATTAAGAGCACCAAGTGCCATTTCTCTCTGCTGCTTTGTTCATCTGCTGTCCCTCAAGGCTCTGTCCTCGGGCCCCTTCTCTTCTCCATCTACACCTCCTCCCTTGGAAAACTCATACTCTCTCATGGCTTCGACTACCATCTCTATGCCGACGACATGCAAATCTATCTCTCCACCCCTCGCCTCACCCCCTCAGTCTCCGCCCGAATCACACACCTACTGAACGACATATCAGATTGGATGTCACTTCACCTCCTTAAACTGAACCTCTCCAAAACCGAGCTCCTAGTCTTCCCCCCAGCCTGCACACAACCCCCCACTGACTTCTCCATCACGTCCAACAATGCCACCATCAGGCCCGCCCTGCAGGCCAGAGTACTTGGTGTCATACTTGACTCCAATCTATCCTTCCAGCCCCAAGTCCAATCTTTAACAAACTCATGCAGACTCCACCTCCGCAACATCGCCAAAATCCGCACGTTCCTAACCCCAGAAACCACTAAACAGCTCATCCACTCCCTCATCGTATCACGACTCGACTACTGCAACTCCCTCCTCACTGGCCTGCCTCGCCACAGGCTATCCCCGCTTCAGTCCATCCTGAATACAGCAGCCAGACTCATCCACCTTACCAACCGCTCCGTTTCCGCCACCCCCCTCTGCCAATCCCTCCACTGGCTTCCGATTGCCCAACGAATCAAATTCAAAATCCTAACACTGATGTACAAAGCTGTCCATCATAATGCCCCAAACTACATCACTGACCTAATATCCAAGTACCACCCAACACGCACACTCCGCTCTTCACAAGACCTCCTTCTCTCTAGTTCCCTGGTCTCCTCCTCCCATGCCTGCCTCCAGGATGTCACCCATCCTCTGGAACTCCCTACCCCAATCCATCAGACTATCACCTACTCTCCTCTCCTTTAGGCGCACACTGAAAACCCACCTCTTCAAGGAAGCCTACCCCACCCCCTGCTGATTGCCGACCTCCTCCACTCTTCCTACCACTCCATCCCCCACAGCTATTTCCTCCTGTGCCAGTATCCCCTCCCTCCTAGATTGTAAGCTCCAAGGAGCAGGGCCCTCGAACCCCTCGTGTATCGCATTGTATTGTTATTGTACTGTCGCATGTACTGTCTCCAATTGTAATGTACAGCGCTGAGCGAACTGTTGGCGCTTTATAAATACTGTATAATAATAATAATTATAATCAGCATGAATAATTTCTGACAAGTTTCCTGACACCAAGAGGAAAATGGTGACAGGGGAGGGACCTCCAGCAGACTGACAGCCTCAGCTCTGTTCCTGTGAGCTGTGTGAAAGACGTTGTGTCTCTTCTTTCCAGTCAGCTCTCAGAGCTCTCCTCACTGATGTAACTTCAGGTCTCCACCTTTTGCTTTTCAGAGCTGAGAGATCCTGTG